ATTTCTCCTTGGGAAGCAGACTGCCATGTGACCCTGCCAATTCCACCTGTTTAGTCGTTATGAGTCTATGGTCACAGGTTAAGCCTGAAGATGAGAAAGAACATTGGGCTTTGATTTGGGGATCAGGACAGCTACAGAGTCAAAACAGTAAGGGCTGGCTTCAGCTGCCCACATAGGAAAACTTGTAGAGCAGGGCTTAGCCAAAAGCTGGGATGATTGTTGGATGGAAGTTTTAACTTTAGAGCTGTAGAAGATGCTACTTATCCTTGAATAATGCAGGAATTAATTCTGTCACTAGTGGACCTATGCCGATGGTGGACGCTGCTTGTGTTTTTTATCCCTCCCTAAGAACATTTAAATTCTGAGTGAGGGAAAAGACTGTATTAACTCTTGGGTTCTGCACCCATAAAGTTCATAGATACAAAGTGGGGCGGGGGGGAACAAAGGTCAAGTCGAGCCAAACAAGGATTCTTCATAAAATGGTAAATGACCCTTAAGTGAAGAAAGAATTAAAATGCGGAGCAGGGGAAGAGAGGACTTAAAACAAAAGGTTTTTTTAAATGCTCTGAAATAACTTGAAGTGACCAGCTGGGGTGTCATTGTGCTATTTTAAAGCCAGCTGCTGCCCAAGGAGGTAGCACACACTGCCTCTGCTTAGTGAGGAATATACAGACTACACTTGTTGGCTAATTTGCCCTTGTCATCAGTGACTGCTGCTTCTGCCTTTTCAGCCTTGCCTTCTCCTTCCCTTCCAGATTACCAGAGACAGAAGGAAAGAACTGTGCACTAGTAGGCCGCTGTCTGCTGGCACTCCAGAGCGGCCGTCCTGCAAAAAACTCTCCACTGCTTTTCCTCAACATCTGAGATAACACATCACGTTTCAGCTGTTGCTGGAGGTACAACTGTCCTGTTGGCTGCACAGGCATCAGCTCTGCTTCCTGCCTGGAGGGATGCCAACAGAGTCTTATTTAGCTGGAAGATGGATGGGGCTTTAGTCAGTACTCCTTGAACTGGGCGTGGAAACAAGCTGATGGTGCTGATGTGGAAGTGGGTACCAGAGGGCGGCTTCTCTGGCAAGATCTGTGCTTCTCCTCTAGTAGGGTTTAATTTAAAGGAGCGCTCTGCTGGTTGTCGTTAGGATGTAAGGCCAAGAGGGTCTGAGCATGCTTGAGCAGAGCAGTCCTTTGTCCTCCAAGAGGTCAACCTGTTCACTTCTCTGGTGACATGAAATTCCTTCATTCTCTGCTCTACGCTACTGGGTTTGCTTGGGACTCAAGGAACAGGAGTAAAATTCAGTCAAGCTCAGTGCACATCTCTAGCTGCACTAGTCCGTCAAGGCACGTTTGTACCTCTTGGCTGCTTAACGACCCTGACTATACAGGACTGAGACGCTTGGAGCATGTTTCTGAACTGCCGCGGGCACGCTTGGCCAGGTTCCCTCGGGTGTGGTGCTGGCACGGTGAAGGGTTTCACTTGCTCCTTCCTTTGCTTGGCACAGCCCTATCCCTGTCATGTGCTCCCAGCAGAACTCCCTGCTGCTTCAGGGTAAACTCCCCTTCTCCAAAAAAGGGGAGGGAGCCTGCTGTGCCCTGCACTGGGAGAGCACATGCTAGTTAGCAGCAAAGCAGGGTGCAAATTATGGTACTGTCACTTTGTAAATGGCATCAGGACAGCCCTTGCTCTGGCCTTCTGTGTGGTGTTTTCCACTTTCTGTAATAACTGAAACAATAAAATGAGTACAGCAACCAGAATTCAGCTTATTCCCACTGAGGAAGTCTCTGGAGGCTTGTTACCGCCCTCAGCACTACCCTGGGGAAAGGCTGGGCAGACAGCTGGGCCAAGCCTTGGCTCCAGTTGCCCTCACAGCCTGTAGGAGGAAAGCGAGGGACCCACTGAGGTGCAGCTCTGGTGTAAGGGTGATTTTTTTTTCAGATTGTGATGGAAGTCAGCCCTTGATTTGCCTGGAGCAGCATTTCAGCACTGCCAGGAGTAAGAGCTGCAGTGGAGGGTGTTGTCTGTGGCAGCACTAAAGCGACTTGCCTGAGACAGCCAAGAGCAGCAGCCCTGACATGACTTCAGTGCTGCCAGCCAGGCTGCTCTTAGCTCAGCTACTGGGCAGAAAGCTGAGCCAGGCTGAAGCAGAGTAAAATACACTAGAAAAGAGGTTTTCACTCGGAATTAAAAAAAACATGCCAGGGTAGCAGGCAGTCCCTGGCCCCAAAGCCAACCCTGTGCTCTGCCTGGTGGAAAACGGTGATCGAACACATGCACCAGGCTTTTGGCACACAACCCAACTGTTGAGCCAAGAGGCACCTTGAACTCTCCCCAGGGGACTGCAAATACACCCTCACCCTTCAATCTTAATCCTGCTTCAGAGCCAGCCCTCACAGGCTCCAGTGACACCTCCCCTGCCTAGGGCAGCTTCCTCCCTGCCATTACTGGGAGGTAATTAGTGGGGTGCCTTTGCAGGCGTCATGCTGACCCTGTGGTTGGCTGTAGGCTAACAGGGAAGAGTGGATTATTTCCCAAGATGCATTTATGTCTTAGGTATCTTAATTGACACAGCAGTAATGGGGTTTGTACTGGTCACCGGAGTCCATTTCATCCTCCAGAACTGGAGGGACAAACAGGGGTAGTTACTGATTCCCACTGGGAAAACAGGCCTAGCAATGCTGGACTTTTTTAGGAGGCCAAGGGTCATGAGCACGGAGGCAGCTTTAGTTTGTCAATGAGTAACTCCCTCCCAGGGAAGCAGTCTGGCAGAGATACCACAGGTAACTTGACCTTTTGGAACAACAGTAACAGCCCCAGAACAAGTTGTGCTGTGTTAGGACACAGCCCATTACCCCTGAGAAACGTACCCTACAGCTCTTACAAGGGGCTGAGGCCTCACTACAGAGAAAGGCACAAGGGCTATTTAACTCCTTGGGATGACCCTCCCAGGGCCAAGCCCACCCCCAGGCCCACAGACCATCCCCCCAGCACTGCCACCCACGCCTGCCACATCCCCTCCTGGACCACACTCCCCCCTGGGCCAGTTTAAAGCCTGTCTCTCCCAGCTGCACTCCCAAAGCTAGGCTTACAGCCGGTAAGCTCATCCTTCTTCCACCGTACCCTAGGCAGGACAGAGTGGTTAAAGCACACAGCAGAAGCCCAAAGCCCCTCTCTGGCAGCAGGACAGCGAGGGTGTTGGTGAAATAACTTTATTTAGTGTGATACACGGCTGTGGTCAGACAGTCCATACTCATAGTAATAGTCACACTTACTTGCTAACAGCTAGGAGACAGCAGGGCCAGACACACACTCAATATTATACACATCCATAGAGAAGACAGTGGGAAGTGAACTATTTTATTTCACTAGTTACCCCCCCCGCCCATTACTTAGGGTCTCCCCCCTCCCTCCCCCGAGGTCTGTGACTCAGAACAACACCACAGCAGAGCAGTGCACACGTGCCTGTGAGAAGGGGACAGCAAAACCTGTTCTACGGCAGACACAGACACACCGACAAACATCAGCAATTCCCACACAACAGGGGTATGTACAGAGGAGGGGGCTGAGCTTCCTGACAGGTCTGGGACTGTGGGTAACTGGAGGGCAGGGTGGGGGGCGGGGAAAGGACACTCCAGAGTGAAATGGTAAACCACAACCCAGCTTCCTCCTGCAGGCCAGCTCACCTGGAGGGGAAGGGACAAGGCTCTGGGGAACAATGGTCAGTCACTAGCAGCAAGGTCACTTGCCACCAGTAAGCCGACTGAGGTGGGGACTGCCAGCTCCAGGTCCGAGGCTGCCCCTTCCCCTCCTGCAACAGTCCACAGGCTTCAAAGTGCGCATGCTGTGTCAGTGACCGACAGGCATCCTGCTAGGGGAGCGTCAAAACCACTAAATGCCATTGTTCCCACCTGTCACACCGTGGTCAAGTCACTCTCCTGCCCGCTAGCATCCCCCGTCAGCATGACATAGGCTGGGCGATGAAAAGATCAGCAAGTGGCTCACAGCCACCCAACTGTTTTATTCCCCTTGATGTCAACAAACCTACAGACTTCTGGTTAGGACAGATGGATGAAAAACTCCCAGTAAAACTCTCTGAAAAGCTCCATTAATGTAATTAGAAACCAGGGGCAGGGGCAAGAGCATGTACTTCCCAACCTCCAAGGTCAAGAAGTGACACCAAAATTCACTTCAGCAGCATACAATCCTCTGTTCCTCTGGCCAGGTCTGACAATAAATCCCTGCTGCTGTTCACCTCAGCTTTGACAATGCTGCAGCTTAAAACAACCCTAAAAGTTAAATGGCTACTACTAGCCCCATCCCCCAGAAGTCTACTACAAAAGGCAGGAGCTATGTATGATTTCATCAAGCAGCAACCTAGGTATGAGAGAACAGCTATCACTGCCCTTCCATCTGCTGTAGCTCTCCTGCTCCGCATGAAGCGGCTCCCAGTCTATGTGGAACAGGAGAACAGAGACTAGGAAAGGAGCCTGAAGACCATCCATGACTCCCAGGGCAGGTACTGCTCCTGTAGTGAGGGATTTTGGGTTTGCTTTTGCTGCTGACAGACAGGACCCAGGTCTCTACAAACCACCCTGAGGATCTCTCCCCACCCAGCCTCATGGTGCAAAGAAAGCCTCTGTACCCTCTTCCTTCCCCACATCTGACAGCCAACACTCACCGAGCACCAACATCATCTGGATGGGAAGATACTCCAACTGAGGAGAACGGTCTGTGGGGTGTCTCTGCTACACAAACAGGAGCAACAAAGCCAAAGCTATCAGAGTCTGGGGGTTTCTAGTGCTGTGTGTGACACGAGGGGCAAAACTCAGAAGTCATGAGCAAGAGTTAACCAAGATTATCCACAGAAAGGAGATACTGAGCAGCTAGTATCGTGTGTGCCCTGCAGGAAGCAAAAGCCTAGAAACAGATAACCTGTATTGTCCAAAAAGGCAAGGCCAAGTCCAACTGACTGGTTTAAAAGGAGCAGCCTTTCAACAGAGGAAGTGGGGATGCAGGACAAGGACAGGGCTGGAGTGGACATGGAACTAGTTAAGATGCGAGGCGGTAAGGAAGGTGGAAAGCCCACCCCCAAGCTTTATTTTTGCCATCCCTAAATTGGTGGCTTTTCCATTGCATTCACAAGATATATCTGAGCAGACAGGCTCAAGGTGGGGAAGAGGGGGAGAAGGGGGGGGGGGGAGAAAGAGAGAGAGAGTGTGTAAAGGGCACCACAGTGCCAAAGTGCAACAACATAAAAAAATAAAATAGAAGACAGGACACTCATTCTGCACTCGGGGCTCATACCATGCAGTAAAAGGGGCGGCCAGGGCTGCTCCCCACCAGTAAACAGGGAGTTCGCTCGCTTAGTAAATTGTTTTTTCAGCCCCCAAAGTAGGGTTGCCTAGCCAATGAGCGGTGATGTTCTTCAGTGAGACTGGCCGGTTGGGGAATGTGCTGCTACAGAACAGGCCTGTTAGCAGGAGCACCCACTCTCCGTTACTGGCTGCTCAGGAGGTTTCTCTAGTTTGATGTCAATCACTGCAGGAGACAAGTTAAGGAAAAACAAGAAGGAAAAAACAGCAGAAGGGATCAGTATCTGAAAAGGTTGCTAGCTGTCCCTTCCTGGTAAGGGCAGGTGTTTTAGCAGAGCAGAGCATATCCTCCTGAACAGGATTAACCGCAAAACCAGTGGTCTCGGTACGTCAAGACCATTTAGAGGATAGAGCCTGATTGGACAGGTCTGCACACAAGACAGCCCTGTGCAAAGACAGGAAAGTATTATGGTATTTTTAAACTATGCACATTTCATCTTAAGCGTAAGTGCAGAAAGCAAAAGTTGCGCTTGGTGTTAGAAGCAGTTGCGCACATTTACATACACACCACAGTCTGGGTCCTCAGTTTACGCCTGCAGGTAAGCACCACACTACGCTGCCTGTTTCAGCCGTATCTCTGCAAAACCGCAGCAAGGTCCATCCCCACAACATGCCAAAAAGTCAGTACGCCCAACCTAACAAACACTAATTGTCAAACTCTATGAGAACAGGCAAAGTTACTGATGAGAAAGCAAGGATACTGTCTTCTTTGCTCTTCTCTGGTGTGCTGTCCATCCCAGGTAAGGCAGCAGCCACACGACGGAAAAGCTAAAAAGAAGCAATAGAAAAGCTGAAGGCTTGTCAGAAAAAACAATGCATGTTAAAAAACATTGATTTACAGCAGATCTTAAAGAATCCAAATCGTACAAACTTGTTATGTAGGTACTTCAGCAAGCAAAGCAATGACCAACACATGCCATGAGATTTTAGCTAAGAAATTTAACAGGTTTTATTAGTGAGGTTATTCAATGCCTATAAAACAGGCACTTTTATTTCTGTTTCTACTTGAACAGAACATGGAATTAATTAGTAACAGTTCTTCCTGGGACGCATAGAACTCCCTCCTGCACTCAGTAAGCATGTCATCTACCATTTCCAGCCCCAGCTGCTTTCACACACAGCAACATCACAGTGCACAACTCTAGGCTTCTGTTAAGCTGCCTTGCAAGGAGCGAAGGTTTAAGAAGTCTATGGAATAACTGAGGTTTTACAGCCCATCCTCTCAGTTCAGTCCTGCTGCGAAACAGCCATTTCTGAGCAGAACAGCTGGCTCAAGTGAGCTGCATTTAAGGTGTTATGGATGTGCTAGAGCTGGGAAGGACTATCATATCCCCATAAAAAACAGAAAATGGTTTTGCAGAATTTTTCAAGTCAATGTTTAAAGCTCCTCCTGCTGACATTACCACAGTAGCTAACAAAATACAGACACTGCTGGGCAGTCTGGTGAAAAGTGCTGCATAAAGAACTAGAAGCATCATCAGCTAATGATGATTTTTCTCACAGCAGCTTGGCAGGGGCTTCTCATCCACACCTCCAAATTGTGTTACTTGGCAAATCAAGCCACTGAGGTACCAGCAAGGTGCTGCAGTTAGCATCCCTTTAGCCACAGAAGTTCTCACTGCAAGCACCTGCTAGGCAAACAAAGTAATATTAAGTCAGAACCAAAGACTAAAGTGGATTCAACACATAATAGCCAAAAAAACCCAAACCCAAAGTCTCCTAATCCCCTTGTGAGGCTCTGCTGCACACCAGCTGCTTAGGAAACTGGTATGCTTCCCAGCTGACACTAAGAGCAGACCCCTGGACCTTACAGCTGCCTTACTCCCCAAGTTCTGTCACATTTCAGAACGATTCCTGAACTAGTGGAGAGTGGAATCACAAGCTTAGAGCAAGAGGCAATGGGCACAAACTGAAATATAACAAATTCTATTCAAACACAAGAAAAAAGCATGAAGTGTTTTTTACTGTACAGATAGTCAAATGCTGTGACAGGTTGCCTGGAGAGATTGAGTCTGTCCTTTGAGATACTCAAAACTCAGCTGGAGTCAGTTCTGGGCAGCCTGCTCTGAGCACAAAGGTTGGACTAGACGATCTCCAGAGATCCCTTCCAACCTCAACTATTCTAAGATTTTCCTCTGCAGCTTGCAAACAGAAGCAGGAACTTCTATTCTAGTGCACCAGCATAAGCAATTATCCTGACTGAGGTCAACACTAATTTTAGGAAACAGTGCACTGTTAGCAAAAGCAAAAGGAATGTACAAAATTCCGTTTGACTGGCTGCACAAAACCGTGCCAGTCCTACCCCTCAGCACATTCTGGTTTTAGATTCTCCTTCCTTTCAAGGTAACTTTGCTTAGCTTTAACAGGGAATCATTGACCTGACAGGAAAGGAGCTTCCACTAGATAAAGCCACAGCAGCGATCACTGGGCAAGAAGCATTTCAGGGGTTGACATTAAACAATACAAGCAACTATCTGCTGGAACATGAACCCCAAGCAGAGGCATACACATACAGAGCAGTAAAGTACAGGTTTCCTCTCTTTAGAACAGAACATCAATCTACCTGTTTCACATTGTATCCAGTCTTTGCACTGGTCTCAATAAACATCACATTCAGCTCTTTGGCTCTCTGTTCACCTTCTTCTGTAGTGATTTGCCTGGACAAAGATGCAAACAGAAGCAAGAAGAGAGAAAGGAAGAACAGACAGGCAGAGTTAGAGATGTCTGTGACTGAGATGCTCCGCAGTGGAGGGCTGCTTCACCACCCCTTACAGTGTGTAGTCCAACGGAGACCTCAGGACCTCCTGGTCTTTAAGACCCCCAGGTCCTCCACCTAAGAATGAAACAAGTTACTCAGGAAACACCTGGACTTATGACTATTAACAGTGGATGATCAGCACAGGATGAAGGTTGTGCAGTACATTTGAGCCTCATTTGCAGCACCCTCAAGGGAAGGAAGAATCCCCATGTGCTGCACCTGATAGAAAAAGCAGTTTCCCAGAAGACAACAGAAGGGAACTCCGTGAGGTTACAGAAAGATTTCAGAAAGGCTCCAGCAGCAAGCGCAGTGCAACAGCATGTGCTAGGCTGCTGCCTGCGAGCAAGCACCTGCAATGGCATCTCTGATCAATACCCTGTACATACCTGTTTCACATTATATCCTGCTTTAGCACTGTTTTCAATATACATCATATTCAGTTCTTGGGCTTTTCTCTCACCCTCCTCTATAGAAACCTGTCTACAGCAATGAGAACAAATCACAGAAAAGAAAAACCAATCTAAAGAAAAATAGTCCAAAAACAATAAAAAGAAAACTGCAGGAAAAAAACAACCATCAACTGAAGCAACATTAACAGGAAAGAAAATCTTAACAGGCCGCACCAAACAAGAACAGTGCTATTTTTGGTTCAGCTTTTTGGCCTCAGAACTTAACATGCATTATCACTTGTTTTTTACCATAGGATGAACGGCTTCTCATACGCTGTAGTCTAGTTTGAAAAATGTGACCAAGCTCAGACTGATACTGTGGCTTTGTCCAGCCTTAGAAGGCCCAGTATTTCAGCCTAACACCAATCTAACTTCCTTTCAAAAGAAAAGCAAGGCAGCTTTCTTTTACCGATACCTGGATATACACCAGAATTCCAAATTCTAGCCTAGACCAGAACTACTGTCTCTTACATTAAGCTTCTAAAATAAGAATTTCTACTGCTACACGAGCTTCATCTGCAGCTATGTTTCAAACAATTTTTCTGGTATTTCTAATTCTTATGGCAGTGCTGGGCCAGCTGTCCTGCACACACACTCCACTTACGTACTGCCAGGAAATAATCCAAGGCTGAAATTATCCCATTGGGTTTTCCAGTTTCACATGACATTGGATTTTGATAGAAATTAGAAAGCCTCAAATCTAAACGTCAGGTTTTTCACTTAGGGAGCTGTAGTTATTTCTAGCTCCCAGGAGGGCATAAGCGATACTAAATGGTCAAGATCCACAGCCGGCTCAAGCAGAACATCTTGGATTTTACTCCATTGCTTTTGTAAGCCGATTTCAGAGGCCAGACTGACCTGAGGTCTTGCCACCTGGAATTCTTAATTCAAATCTGCTATACACATTTGCATCGTATTTCTGAAGCTCTGAGCACCAAGTTTTCCCAGCATTTCCAAAGTGCAAGACATAGGACACCTAGAATGTGCCTCCCACTGGAAATGGGTAAAGCCTAATAGTTGTCAAGACTGAGGTGGTCTGTGTGTAGGACACAGAACACACTTCTGTAAGAACCATCAGGACAAAGCCCACGCAGCACCCAGCTGGAGCCTAATTTCGTCCTGTTCCCCACTGACTCAAACCACTTGCTGGTATTAGAACCATCTGTGCCTTTCCTGCTAGGCACGGCAAACTAAAAACTTAACAGCCTGATTCATACAGGGCCAAAGGGCAAACCACATCTCCCGACAGCAGTCTGTGCAGCCAGGGATGCTAGGTATTGTCTCATGCAAACATTTGGACAACAACAAAACCACAAGGGAAAAACCCCATCTCAACACATTCTGAAGCAATGCGTACGCCGCAGGAGCGAGCAAAGCAAGGTTTAGGATTTAAAACATGACAGCATCCAACACTGAAACAGTCAGATCCCTATTAGGCCCATCAGCCCAAGAAACCAAGTAAGCGGGCAGTTCAGATAATAGTGCAAAATTTTTCTGAGACAACACTAATGTTTCACCTGTAAGGCTTTTCAAACTGTTTTCTTTTAATCAGAAGTGTCTTGTCAACAGCCAAAGGATAAGGGTTTGATTTTGTAAGACCTCATTTCGCTGTGAGATCCAGGTGTTTCCCAGTTCTGCCTGAGATGCTTTCTTTTGTATCAGATAAAAATTCCCCATCATTTCAATACTTCCTATGTCCTACGACGTACAAAGCACACAATTGAGAGTACCTGGTGTATGTGAAGATGTCTCAGTTTAAAGTACTGATACTTTAAGGAAATGAATGGCTTACTCCATCCTTCCTTTGCCAGCTACTACTGACACTGACCATTAAAATAAACATCTTTCCTTATCTACAGTTTCTGATGTCTTCATAAAGAATGAAAATCTCTGAAAAACATTAAGCAAAACTTTTGCTAACAACAATCAAGGGAAGAATTCAAAACAGAAACGCAAAAGCGCAAGCCTGGGGTCTTCTAAGAACCTGTTACTTGAAGTGGTGTTTTAAGTGGGATTAAGAGTTTTAAAAGCAAATGCTTTCTGACATTTCCCAAAACATTAAGTTTGTGTGATTTTTAAGACTAATTAACTTTTTATGTCTCTTGGGTAAGTCTGCTTTTGCTAATCCGGTTTCCTCTCACACATCCACAGCATCACAGTTTGTGTTATGTATGACATGAAATTTACGCTCAGAGGGAAATGTTTTAGATTGATCCTATAAAAGCTCATGCTGCATCTTGTAACAAGGACAAACTTTACTATGAACTTACAGTTGCACATGCAGAAAGAGTCATGTAACTAGGATTATTGAAAAAAGGCAGATTGCCTTGCTTTTGCAAGACATATGTTTGGCTTTATCTCATCATGAAGAGAAAGAACAGACAAAACACTCTTGAGAACCATGGTATAGAGATATTTAATTTAAGTAAAAGGAATTTTTTTAGGTGGGTTTGTTTTAACCAAAACTATTTGTAGACTAGCAAAAGGCATTAATTTTGCATATGCTGAAACCATGAATCTGAATTTCATGACAAGCAATTTATGCTTCGTTTCAAAATCAACAATTGTTTTGGAGACAGACTAGCCAGACTGTTCCTTGCTTCTACTGGTCAGGGCAGCAAAGCCACCAGCTCCCCGCCATTACCTCTTGTCTGCCAGGTCAGTTTTGTTCCCCACCAACATGATGATGACATCACTTCCTCTCTCTGTCCGAACATCATCGATCCACTTGGAGGTTTGCTGGAAAGAATTCAAGTCTGTAGGGAAGAATCAGATGGCAGTGCTGAGGATAAAACTTTTTCAGAGGGAGGATGCTATGCTTGTACTCTGGTGCTTCTCCAAATCTCCCCACACCACATATAAATGACCCATAAATTGTTTTCCTCTCAGACAGAAAAACAGGGTGGGGAAAACACATTTCTAATGTTAATCATCTTTTTGCAGAACTTCTGGTTGTAACTTACTCGTTCTGCTTACACATAATATTTCAAATAACAAGACAGCAAAGCATCACTCACTTGTAATGTCATAGACTACCACAGCAATGGTGGAGTCACGGATGTAGCTGGGAATGAGACTGCGGAACCGCTCCTGGCCTGCTGTGTCCCAAAGCTGCAGCCGAACCTGCTGGTACCAGGCCAGGGAGAGCAGAGAGAGAGAGAGAGAGAGAGAGAGAGAGAGAGAGAGAGACAGAGACAGAGACAGAGACAGAGACAGAGAAAGAGACAGAGAGAGAGAAAAGAAAGGAGGAAACTGTCCTTTAGAGAAAAAGCCATTTCTAGAATTAACTGCCTGTAGCTCAGTCTGAGAAGCTGAGGTTGACCCTGTAATCTTACCCCACATATCCAACCCCACAGAATTTCGCTTTTCTGACTGTTTGTAGATAATGTGCTTTAATTATCTCCTTTGCTTGTCTAGAGATTCTGCTGTTCCCAAAGAGCTCTAGGTTATGGCTACTACCCCACTGCTGATAGCAGTAGCTAATGAGTAATATAGAGCTGGTCTTCCTGGTCTACCCAGGATTACGTATGGGGTCTCCACAGGACACTTAGCTTAGAGCACCTCAGATCAAAGCTTTTTGGGCAATTCCCACATGACAGACATGTAGTTCCCTCAGCCCAGACACCACGTAGTAAAACAACATCCATTCTCCAGCATCAAGCATCCAGAAATGGCAATGGGGATTTTCATGCAAGATTAAGGCAATAAGTTCCAGAAGAAACACAAATGTTACATGCTGTAGGCTTCACGTGACACACAGGGCATCAGGTTCTCTCTTTCAGATAAGCACAAGAGTCAGAAACAAGCACAAATGCTAGAGAGGTAGAGTTTGATCTCCAGAACTACCCCCAAACACAAATTGACGCATTATATATGATAGCTCTAAGGTCTGGGACTTGCCTATTTGAAATGTGTATGGTCAAAACATGCCGACTATCACAGTGAATGCTGAACAAAAGCTTTTCACAACCGGGAGCGATACTGTTTCCTTCCAAGTCATTACCCCACAGAGCTAGCTGTACAAGTAGTGCTACACTGCCAGAAAACAAGATTGCTGCTGGCATTCTCAACGGGCACAAGTTTCACAGGAGGGCAGAAACTGGTTCCCAGCTTAAGTACATGAATTGGTTAAGTGTGCTCACAAAGCTGCACCTTCAGCAATGAGGGAGAGCAGCTGTTATGCACAGAGCAGCGGTTAATAATGCAGCTTGCAGGAGACTGGGTACAAGGGAGAAAGCAGTTTCAGAAGGACCCATAATTGGCTTGTTTAGAAGAGAAATAGAAGCTAGACAGAGCACATGCCTGCCAACGTCTCTTGCCACAAGCAGATGCAAAACAACATCGTATCTGTATCACGGTACGTAGATCTGATGCCCTGGGACTTAAGGAAGATTAGGGCTTACAGTTAAAACAATTGGCTCGTGCTTCATTTTGAAGGCAGCCTTGATTACAGTAGCAGAAATCAGGGCCCTTCATTACCCCAGGAAGCTCAGGGTGACAAACTCCAAGCACCTGGACAATACTACAGCGAAGATCAGATTGATAATGACAGTTTCTGGCTCTTGCTTCTGGACTTCACAACAAGCTTCCACATAGTCCCCAAGACATTGCTGCTACACCAGACTATTCACCCAGAAGTCTCCCAAGGTGGCGATTTAAACGCTCCAACCTTCAGACTCAGTCAAAAAGGCAACTAGAGGAAGGACCACAGAACTGGCGAAGAACTGGTCCCAGTAATCTTGTTGTGAAGGGTAACACTATTCGAGGGAATACCAGCTCATGTGCAGGTACTGTGCAGGCACCCCTGAAGTGACCTGAGAAAGTCAGCTGCAGTATTTCTGTGGCTTCTTGTTTCTAGAAGTCAAAGTTTGTGTGCACCCATTTTGGAGGGGAAGAGTAAATATAAATAACCCACTCAAACACGACAGCATGCTAATGACCCTACCAGTCTGGAAAGATGAAAGGTCCTCAACGAAGAGTTAACCTGACCTCTCTTAGAAACAAGGTAACTTGTTCAGAAAGGGGCCAGAGTTGCAGCATGGACTTTCACCACAGATCTCTCCACAAGCCACTTTGCACTTCAAGATGCCCAGCAGATTAAATAAGCAATTTCTCTTTTCCTTCTCAGCTCCCCACATGCTAGCTAACAGTTTTTCTCTACTAGTTACGAGTATCTTGGCTGGTACTTAAGTATATCCTATGGGACTGTCCCTATTTTACACTACCGCAGCCAGCATTAACTGACAAGAGACTGAGGTTCCCAAATACAGTTACCACTAAAGACAATGCAAATATATAGCTTTCCAGAGCGGTAAAGGAAACTGTGTTTACCTAACTGCACTAACGCGCACCATCATCATGCCCTCAGAAGTACACAAGCATGTTTCTTCAATAACACAAGAAAACTAAATGCCTCTCAATCACTAAGAACAGTAAAACGAGCACTAACAAGAAAAAACCCCGAAATTATCCGAAAAGATCAGACCATTACCAAGGCATGATAAGATAAGCTATTACTTAATTATTTTGACATGTCTGGAAGCCATTAAGAACAGCCTAGACTGGCAAGATTTTTCTACCTGCCTGGATAAACAGCATCCTGTACCTGTCACAACAGTGAGGAGAAAAGATGCCAACTTATGCAGCCTGCCACACTGCCTCACGTAGATGTTTTCCCAGCAAAAGTCATCACATGCACACCTTAGCACTCCTCAAACGCCAAACAGATGACTTCAGTTTTACATTAGTTGGCACCAAACCAGAAATCCTCCCAGAGTCAACTGCTTAAGCTACAGGACTGGGGAAAGACCATGTAATTATTTGCCCTCAATATGCAAGATAAATCACAACAGAAGTCTATTAATTTTTAAGCACTTCAGTTAACCAAAGCAAAATAAACCCCTACTTCGTAAAGCCTCACTATAATCTAGAGTTTGTGACAGAATAAAGCAGGCCAGAGCTTCTTCATCTGTGCTACCTTCCTTACCTGGACTTTGTCCAAATGGTTGTTGGCTCACTGCTATAAATCCTATCTAGATATTTATGCTGATACTGTAACTGAAAAAGCCAGATCAAGTGGAATTGATAACAAGGAGTTATAAAGAAATAATTGTATTCTTATCTTCTTATCTTATACTAAAACATTCATGCCAAGTTACAGAGAATTTCTGTCTAAGCTTGTTTGTTCTTTAGAAATTACGGTAGTTACAGCTCTTGTCTTGCAAAAGCTCTCATTACACATACGAATCGCCAGCTCTCTGCTTCAATGAAATGGAAGTCTTGACTCCTTGTAAGTCACTACGTAGCTTTTATTTAAATGGGTGCTGTACTGTTTTACCTACTCTGACAGATGCTTTGGCATCTGAAGTTGTTGCTTCTGTTACCTCTCTAGTTACCCAGAAAGGACAAAAGATCGCGTTCTGAGGTTTAAAAAAACCAAACAAATCCAAACCAGAAAAAGTATAAAGCTTTCCAAAGGCTACCAATCACCTTTCATTCCAATCAGCACAGACACACGAGAAGTCACAATCCCCGTTCACCTACCTGCCAGTCCTCTGTGTACCGCTTCCATCATTTGAGCAGACTACAGTTTTCCAGTTCACCAGCATTATGGGATGGAGTTACCATCGGCTGGGGGGAAGAGATGCTCAGCTATGTCCCCTCTGCCCACGAAACACCTATGGTCCTGGGGCCGATGGCCTATCTCAGCTCTTTTCAGATACCACCACCACTTCCAACGCTTAAGAGACATGTTAAAAGCAAGGTCCCTGCAGACACTCCGGCTCAATACCTACTTGTAATGTCAAAGACAATGACAGCCACAGCAGAGTCACGGATGTAGCTGGGAATGAGGCTGCAGAACCTCTCCTGGCCGGCTGTATCCCACAGCTGCAGCCTGATCTGGGAATAGGGAAAGAAGGAAGAGCAGGAAAATGGAAAACAAAACCAAAACTCAAGTGAAATAAAAATAAAAATAAAAAAATGCAAGGCAAAAATAATGCATAAAAAGAAAGTTAAAATGGAACAGAAATGTGAAAAGAGCCAACAACACTTCTAACTGCATGCTCACAGCAACCTCTGCCTAGCACGCCTGAGAAGCCACCCTCCCTCCACAGACCCATTGGTAACTCGCACATACGAACATGTTCTTCCCTTTAACCATAAAACCAAGATATCCCTAGAAAATACCTTCTCACACCATCTGTTAATAAGTGAAGTAAGCATACATACCTCAGTGCATCCTGCCACGTCAGGACTCTGGCTATAAAGGCCACACAAGCAGACCGCAGCCTACAGCCAGCTAGGTGCAGCCACTCCTAACCGTAAGGACACATCGCCCCGCTGCCCATCAGCCCCCTGGAAAGCCTGATGTGGGGAACCATAGTAGTGGGGTACCCATCAGAACAGCAAACACCCTCTAGACTGGCTTAGCTTGCACTTAAATTCAACAAGTCTGGGAAGGTATTGGGACGCAGAAGGAAACACTACTCAGTCTTTCAAGAATGAGGATGTAGCTGTAACATGGAAACTGGCACCCTGACAGTTACAATGGAGGATGCAGCTTCCCGTGGGCCCAGTTCACTTAATGCCACAGGTCCCAATGCACTGGCAACATGCTGGAAATGGCAGACTCACAGCCACCCTCTGTGGGAGGCTGCTGGAGATGGTTTTGAGGAACCAAACTCCGTATTTGTCCCTTTTGCTGGCTAGTATGTGCTACCCAGGCCATATTTAGAGCTGAGTGATCTAGCACAGGTATAATTTCAGGATATATTATTTAGTATAAGGACAAAGCATATGCCACAGCTGGAGGCTTAGCATTCTTCATTTCAAGCCCAGTAGTCAAAGCCTATTGCAAAATACAGCATTAGCCATATCTGAGAAATTATTTCAACGCCTGAATTTTCCCAGCTTGTGTGCTTGTATTTCTCCCTCCTCTTATCTGCATTCAACAACCCTCTGTTATTTAAACAGGCTTTATGGGCTCTGTGGACGACTTACATAATCAGGAAAGCTAACAGTATATCCAAGATTGGGAAGAAAATGGTATTTTCTGGATAGCAGGCCAGCAGGTGAATGACATCCTGACCTACACAACCACAAGACATCAAGACTACCTTGCTGAAAACAGCAAACAGGCACTCCAACTTGCTTTCACAGGCATCAAGCAGGATCTTTTTCTTCTTCTGCCACTGTCAGTACCATTGAAGAATGTTATCCAAGTAGTCTCTCCTGAACAAAGATTAAGCCAGGTCTTTTCTAACAGTGAATCACTGGTAAGATGGCAAAGAAGCACTCAAGAAACTCACCACACACACTGGGCTGAGACTTCTTCAGAAGCAACAGACCCAAAGCAACACAAAGACCTTCCACCGCACCACCGGCCCCTTCCTCCCCGCAACAGTTTCACACTTCTCAGCCAGTAGTAAAGCTAGCCAAAACGCAAGTACTAGCAAAACATCAACTAATGAAAAGACAAATACTGAAAGACAGGAGAGTGATGTGTGGGACATCTTTATGCAAAAAGGAATCTCGTGCAAGCTAAATCCAAAACTGCTTTATTAACAGCACATCAGAACTTTGTTACAAAAGGAGCCTTTCTATAAGGAGGAACTATGCCACCACTGGTAATCGTGAATGACTTCAAGACTTGGAACTGCCTGGGGTCTGCTCAGACCCATTTATACTGACAATCCCAGAGGCAGAGCTACAAATTCTGGGACCAAACTGCACCTGAGGTATATGCAGCAGACAGCCCATTACCCGGGATATGGACATTAGCTTGCCCCTGTTTTGCATGAAAGATTTTGACTTCATTCTAGAGGTACCAGCTACTACCAAGTATCAGAAACAGGAGAGTGCGTCAGTGTTTTGATTTAACAAAGACTGTCCCTTGAAGGCTGCTGGGGGATTTCAGCAGCCACTGGAGGAACGGCCAGGCAGAACAGCACGCACAGCAACTGCTGCTCCCCTGACTGCCGTTGCCATGCTATCACACAGATGCCTCACTTACCGTGCGATCTTCAAGATACATCGTTTTTGACAGGAAATCAATTCCAATGGTCGCCTAAAAAGAAGAAAAGCATTAGTAAATGCAACTTGCCTTCCAGCATCTGTAAATCAGAGCTTTCTATACAAACTCTAGAAGTGTTCGCACGCTTATAATTAAGCTCTTGAAGTCATTTGCCTTCAATACATTTGATACAAACAAAGCAATCTGGTTATCCGCACCATCTTCATTTCGCACCATTCTTCAACACTTCTCAACTGTGCGAGAACGTCCAAGTCTCGGTTTTAGCCTCAGACATTCATGCATTCTTAACCCAGACCATATCTGAACTGGCATCTCCTAGTCTACTGCAATTCAGTCTGGTAAGAATTATCTTAGAAATATCCAAAAGGTGGAGCAAATCACATATATAAATTGTGGGCGACTGCACTGAAAGCTAAAAAGCAATGTTTACGCAGGGCTTTCCATTTCAGAATGTGCTTCCTTTCCAATGACATTCAGAAGCTTCATTTCCCAGGAAGCTCTTTCTGCAAGACTCCTTCCACTCGCGCTTCCATTGCCATACAGCGATTCCGGAACAAAGACATGTAAAGTAATTTACTAAGTCAGATGCACTCACAGGCACTTACATTAAGCAGGTGTCCGGACCAATCATAACCCTGGGAAACAGGTTACTGATGTTAGTATTTTAGACAGATTATCTCCCATCTTAAACACCAGCAGCATAAGGTGTTCTGGAAGGTCTCCATCACAATGTGAGCTGTTTAACATCACAAGAGACCACAATGGCCAGTTTCTGTAGTGAGTACTTATTTCTGGGAGTCCTATTTTCTGCAGCCAGGACACAGTTTATAACAACTACAATAAGTAGATAAATTCATGCCAGCACCTTACAAAAGTCAGGAAAAGAAACACAGAAAGTACAAGAGGATCCAATTCCAGCGAATGACTTGTCCTCAAAAAAACCAATCTTCTCTTTCTTTTCCAATTTAAATAAACCAGTAACTCTTTCTAGCCTGAATTAAAAGATAACACCCTAGTCTCATCTTCTTTAAAGACAGTTGGTATCCCCTTGAAATACCACTAAGTGCTTTTGATGCAACTAACTCTTCCCAAAATCTTCAGGCCTCTTGCACATCCTCAGCTTTTCATCTGCAGCCTCTTCATCCCTACCCTACTCTCCCCCTGGAAAGCCTTCCCCAGCTTTTTCTATCTATAGCCTTTTAGTTAAAAAACCACTAACAATAAAAAAAATTGAGAGAATATACCACATTGACTTCTTGCAGATCTGTCTATACACTCCAGATTCAACTATGACTATTTAAATGGAAAGCCTCTAAAGATGCTAGAGACCAAGAACTATCAAAAGCATGTTCAGATCTTAGTCATTCTCTCCGCTTCCTGAGACTTCCACATCCATTGTCATGCATCCAAACCACCATCCTCTCTGTTAGCCAACCCCATAAACCAATGTTTCTCCCTGTTTTCCTCAAGGCTTCTCACATACCCAGACAGGATCTAAACCTTGCTTCTTTTTGGTACACTATTTCCTGACATTATACTAGATGCCTTGGCTTAACCATGAAGCCTCATCTCCATTTCAAGGTGCATTACAACCTTACACATGATATTGAACTGACATCTCCTGGAAAAATGTGCTTGGCCCTCACAGTTCTCATAGGCACACATTTTCATAGTGGGGAACACATTTACCCATATATATTAAAAAAACCCCTCAAACCACAAACCTACTACCACATACCTGGTAAGTATTGTCAAAGCTGTCATACATAAACCTGGTGATCAGAGAGGTCTTCCCAACTACAAAAGAAGAGAAAAATTACTTTCAAGCAGCAGTGGAAAAAAACAACCACTGCTTTGGGAGTGGCACGCTGGCAGTGATGACTGTCAGAACGAAGCTGACAATCTAAGGCCATTCCCAGCTATACTCTCCTGCAAAATAACCAGCTAAGAAATTAATTCTCAAAATGATGGAAGTACATTAAGCCAAACCAACCTCAGTAGGTCAAAAACTGATCATGGCGAAAACTTGGTCCTCAAATTAAGGACGCTGTGATGCACATGACAAAGAATTATCTCTTTGCTTTAAGCGAGCAATAGATCTGCTTTGTTACTCCTATTTTGCTACTTATGTAATCACCAAGTCTAGATCTTACATGCATAAACAAGCCATGGTGATGTCCCAAACACTGTTTAGCTGCCTCTGGCTGGGTAGAAAAGCAACATTCAAGACTTACAACCTTTCTTCATAACAAGATTTTAGATACAGAGTGAACTTTGTGGGCTTGCTTAAAAACTTTAAATTTATGTCTCCAAGTATCTCCAAAAGACAAAGTGCAGAACTGACAAGAACCAGGAACCAAAGATATCTCCAATTCTCTCTCAGGAAGCTGGAGAAAGCCAAGAAAAATTCAAAGGACACGGATGGGAGAGGGAAAACGAATAAACTGCCTAGAAAGGTTGTGAAATTGTGAACACTGGGGAGGGTTAAAATCAGGTTAGACAAATGTCTATCAGCAGCAACACCAAGGCGGGAGGATTAGACAACTTCTGGAAATTCCTCCAAGACCTACAGTTCTGGGACCAAGGAGGAAGAAAGCGGTAGGAGATTTGAAGACAGTAATACAGCAAAGAACACCGCGATTTCAAGAAAAAAAGGATACAACTCATCCATATATTACGAGGGAAGGGGTACAAAAGGGAGGTAACTTCTAGGCAAAACAAAAAAATGAAGCTGTAAGGGAGGCCGCAGCCACGCTATACATCCTCTCTCCTGCATACGCCGCGCACTCGGTGTGGACGCGGCCAGACACACAACACACGGGGCGGAGCAGCA